TTTATTAAGTAAAAATCACTTTTCTTCTGCTTCAGTATTGATGAGTGCTCTCTTTGTGAACACCATTCCAACCATCAGTTATTCAAGGAAAGTATATTTATTCTTCATCGTGAACCTGAAATATCATAAAACATGACAGTACAATTTAGATGCAATAGAAATTACCATTGTAAGGAAAGAACAATAGGAAAGGAATGTGATGCAGTAGATTACATCTAGAAAATCCTTTATTCTCTGTTTAGGCAGCTAAAGTAAAAAAAATGTTTTAGAACCTGAAAGCTTCTGCCTGCAAGTGTTGAGCATAATAGTCAGATGGCCCAATGATCCTGTATGTATCCTACACAAATTCTTAAAACAGAATTTTTTTTATACGAATACTATGAGAGTATCCCTGTTAAACTTAGATAAATTTCCTTATGGGTAAATATATACAGAATTTTCTATTAAAATGAAAACAAAGTTTTTATTTCCATACTAGTGGCATTTTGAAGCCATAAAGAAATATGGCTTCTGTTTGGGCACATATGAGCTGATTTGCACTACGAACTATTGCAAAGGCTAGTAGCCTTGGTTGGTTCCTTTTGTGGAAAACACTTTGGCATAAGAAAACATGTATATTTAAGAAATGTAACTTGCTCTGTGCATAATTGTTTAGTAACCAGTGGCATCCAACTCTATCTGCTCACAGAGAGGTAGAGAGCATTAAGGACATCTGTCTGTGCCTGAAGGATTTATCACTGGATTGTGAGCAACTGCTGTTTAGTGAGAAACCTGTGGTCTGTCTGCTTCAGTTCATTGATTATCTTAGCACTTTTTAGAACATATTTAGAGTTCTTGAAGCACATGATGGCATCCATTTGTCTGGAGTCTTAGACACACATAACTTTATCCACAAATCATTGTCTGGGGCACTTTTTTAAATATTAAAACATGAATTTTATTACAGTTAATAAAGAATATCTGAAAAGGAAAACCAGTTTACCATCGTACAGCAACCACACTGTGAATAGAATAAGAATTCTTTATTGGCCAAGTGTGATGGGACACACAAAGAATTTGTCTTTGGTGCATATGCTCTCAGTGTACATAAAGAAAAAAATAAATTATATTCCTCAAGAATCATAAGATACAACACTTAGTGATAGTCATAGGATACTAATAAGCAATCAAATCATACTAAGAAACAATAAAGCAATATAAATTGTAAAGATACAAGCAACATTGTTATAGACATAAGTGGGAAGAGATAGGTACTAGGAAGGATGAGGAGAAGAATAGTAATACAGTCTTAGTAAATACTGTGGGGTAATGACATGTTTATATCAAGGGTTGTAAAGTAATTGTTTGATAAAACTGCCTCCATTGCAAAAAGCTGCCTAGTTACAATATTTGTAATAGCTTCAGCTTGAGTTCTTTTGTATTTTCCTAATCTGATATTTATATAATAATTCATGGTAACCTGAACTAATATTTTGGTTCCTAAATCATTTTTAAAAATGTATCAGTCATCTTTAGCGATGTTTATATTGCTATGATGGATTTATATGCAAGAGAAATGAAATATTCACTATCTGGAATATACTGGAGTAACTGCACTCCCTTTTTTAACCACTTTTCTGTCACTTTCCTAAAGTTTGCCTGCCTAAAAGTAAAACAAGGATGTATGACAGTTAACTTCTTTCATTTTATGATCTTTCCTAACTCTGTTGCATTGATACAATATCACGAAATGCCAGGTCAAAATTTACAGTAAAGGAGAAATTGGAGTAAGAATGGAAGTTACTTGCACTCCGATTAGTTACTGTTTTTTTCTTCCCAGAATCCTTTCTGTTTCATTAGCCAGGGTCCAAATGGTTTTCCTGAAGATTTTCTACATTTGACTATCTAAAGTTTGCATCCAAATTAAATTGTGCTGATGGTGCTTTCTATATCCTACAATGATTGCTACTTTGAGTGACTTTTTGCATGTGTCCTCAGGGCAACTGAGAGGGGGTTAAGCGGTGCAATGCACTGCTAACGATATGAGGAGAGTTTGTCAGCTCTTGCCTATCAAAATATTCATGAAGGGACATGTTGCTGTTCTTTGTGCAAGCAAGACCATTCCACTCTTATTTTCTTCTGCCCTTGAGGGCGATTTTCTTTCCCTTTTTCATACTCATGTACTTTTATCCTTATCTAAACTTTATGTGTCTTCTCTATGGAATATTAATGCCTGCTTTTAAGTTCCATGTTCAATCTTTCTGCACTTGTTTCAGTCACTCAATTGCATCTTTAATTCCCCTTCATTCTCCTTGGGTTTAAAAAAAATGTTTCTCAAGCAACGCATACTTGCATATTAATATAACTTGCATATTAATAAGACAGAGGTTATAGAAGGGGAGAGTAAGGAGAGTAAGGAGTAACTTGCTTTCCATACTCTCAAAGCATCCCTTCACTCTTCCCTCCTGATAGACTAGTTTCAATGTGGTACAGTAGAAATGTACTAAGAAGCATCAGAAGAGCATGATGGTTCTCTCTGTGTCAGTAGCAGCAAATGCAGCAAACAGGAAGTAGAATTTTCTCCTCATGAGAGAGGAGAACATAGCTGATATTCAGGAGAGAAATTTCATGTCATTTAGTCTTCTTCAGAGCCAGTCTGGTATGTACTTAAAGCATTAGACTAGAAATGAAGTGATTGTGAATACTAGTCCTGAGGGATCCTTGGTGCTCTCTGAGCTTGCTGACATTTCTTGCTGACATTTCATTACCCAAACTAGTAATTACTACTGGATTACTAGCACTGATGGTGTTACCTAGTTTGGATAATGAAATGTCTACATGGAAACAACCAAGCTCAGAAAGCACCAAGGAACTCTCATTTCAACCCTGAGCTACAAAGATTCTTTATTGGAGTACTAGTCCTGCCTGGTGTGAAACGAAGTTGAGTGACCTTGGCCCAGTCTCTCTCAGCTTCTCTCTCAGCTCTAGAAGGAAGCAATGGCAAATCACTTCTGAAAATCTTGCCAATGAAACTGCAGGGATTACCAGATGCCGAAAGTCAACACCAACTCATAGGGATGCAGACATGCACATCATGTACATATACTCCAAGGTCTCCTCAATTAAGGGGTACTGCACGATTTCTTCCACTGAACCTTTGGCTTGGAGGAGCAACAAAGTTGTAGACATCAGACTGACTCAGGAAATGAGGAAATGGAATTGTATGGGATCACTTTGAGAAGGCAGGAAATGATCCCTACTTTGTGTTCTCTACCTACTGCAAGTCAGGATCAGTCAGGAATACTTGAAGGACTTTCTAGCCAGCATTACCTGTAAATGGGTGATCAGGACAGCACTCAATATTTCAACAGCCCATCATTCCTATGTTCTTATGAAGTGACAATGTAGCTGGTGTTTTTTAAAGTTAGCTGTTGGGATAACACAGCTAGATATGAAGATAATGTGAGTGACAGCATATCTTCACTCCACTGCAAATTGATATCTGATTTAAATAGACTTTTGGAATGCACATTTTGCAGTTCTGACAGTGTAAGCACCATAATAGTTTGGGGTATGTCTCAAATACCACCTTTCACTGTCATCTTTTTTTGAATTTGGCCATAAGGTTTAACTCATGTGAGACTTGTGCCAATGTTACAATTTCTAAATATTAAACTCAGCACTGAGTGAATAGGTATAAGTCTAACAATAGGTTTTATGCCAAAAGGTTCACTGCTTTTAAGAATAAATAGGGAAACAAGTCAAAATTGAACTTTGCTTAAAATCCTTACTGCTTTTAAGAAAACAAAGCTCCAATACATAATGCTTCAAGAACAGAGACAAGATTAGGAATGAGTCTTTCCTTCAAATGCTTTCTTCTTCTGGGAAAGAGGCTTAGACTATGAATGGGCCTTTTTGTATAAGCATTCTGCTTAAGAATTGGGAACAAGTATTGCCAATATTCCTCTGCTGTTGCTTAAAACATTTATTCAGTAAAGAAAGATACCTGTATGACAGTCAGCCTCACCAGCTTCACTGCCTACCAATATTTACCACTGCCCATATTTGCCAAAGCTTCTCCAGCTAATGAACTTAACTCTACAAAGATCTGCAGCCATCCAATCTGCCATTACAGCCTTGTTGTCAAAAGGTTCCCCATATGCTGGGATGGCAAACCTATGGCACACGTGCCACAGGTGGCATGTGGAGCCATTTGTCAGAGTACACGAGGCATTGGCATGCGCGCTGGCCAGATGAGTTCAGTCTTTTTTAAAGCTATTTTTCGCCCTTCCCAGGCTTTATGGGAGCCTGAGGAGGGTGAAAAGAGCCTCCCCCCCCCCGAGCCTCTTTGGAGGCTTTAGGAGCTTCCCTGAAGCCTCCAGAGTGCAAGAAAACGACCCTATGGGCAAACCAGAAGTTCAGGAACGGACTTCCGGTTTGCTCATATAGTCGGTTTAAGCCCTCCAGAGGCTTCAGGGACCTTCAGGAGGCTTCCCTGAAGCCTCNCGCAACATACAGGAGAAGTTGGTGCAAGAATTTAGTTTCATATTCTAGAAAGTTATGATTGTATTTGCACATATATCCATAAGCTCTACTTTAATGAAATAAGTAAAAATATAGGAAGTTCACAATGAAAGGGAGAATATTTTTTTGCTCTTGGATGCCCTAGAGGGGGACTTGCCCCACTGTGGTCCCACATGTGTAGAAGGTTTGGCCCCAAGGCTGATGGATAGACATTCTACAGAATCTGCTTGGAAGACGTTTTGGGAAAATCAGTTCTTGGAATTCAGGATTGGTTCTAATGTAATAGCAAGGCCTATATCTGCTTTAAAAATTAACTAAAAGGATGGTCAAATATAATAATTATTGATTTATATTATTTTCTATCTTTTTAAAGACACACTTGGTACTCTTAAATTAAAGTATACTAAATAACAATATTAACTCAGCCAGAACTAAGCTCTAAGTACACATTTTTTAAGTAGGAAACTATCACTTGATTTGAATTCAAAGAAAAATACCCTTGATTCCAGCTTCTGAATCTGCTTCTTGCCCCCTTTGAGGGCAATTTGTTCTGCTTCATCAAGTCTCTTCTGTAAATCTTTGATAGTCTGTTCCATATTCTTTTTCATGCGCTCCAAGTGAGCACTGGTGTCCTGCTCTTTCTTAAGTTCTTCAGCCATCATTGCTGCCTGAAATAACATAGAGATGTGAAATGGTATCTTCTACAACACCAAAATGAGTCTTTTTGTTTTTGTGACTTAATGGACATAGGAATTTAAAGTTCTAGATAAATTTTCACATCTGATCATAGATAATACTGTTCTAAATAAGTAGTATAACAAAGCAATAATTTAGGATAAAATGAAAAAAATAGGAAAAAATTACTTACATCAGTGATTGCTTTTTTGGCCTTTTCTTCAGCATTCCTGCATTCCTGTATAGCTTCTTCCACCTCAGTTTGTATTTGAGTAACATCAGTCTCCAGCTTCTTCTTCTGGTTGATTAGGCTTGTATTCTTTTATTTCAAAGGGAAAAGGAATGTTCATTAGGAGGACAGGATCTTTTGTAGCACTGGGACTAGCGTGAATAAGATAAAGTATAACAATAGGCTTATTCATTCATATTCCTGGTAGAATAATTCATATTATTTCCAAGAGACACACTAGTGAAAAATAAATCAGGTCAATTTCTGGTTCAAAGTAGAATCTTCCACATCAGATCCTTCTTGAGCAACTAGAATCTGAGATAGAAGAAGTCAACCATGAGTTAAGAATGATGTGAGTATAAATTGAATGAGGAATTCTGAGTATTTGCCAGACAAAAACAACAAAGAATCTTGGAGTTGTTTATGAGATGCATCTTAATAAGACAATATATTTTCTATACGTATGGACCCTGGTTTTCTATACTTCTGGAACCTGATTAAGAAATCTCTCATTTCTCAATAAAATGGGTTCTATGTTTTATGCAAGCGAGAGAGAGGAAAAAACCCTCTAGAAAGCATGATATTATAAGGCTTCTTTCTTGTATCTAGTTTGCAAAAAGATCACCAATATTGGCTGATATGCCAATCTATAATTTAGAGAACAGCAGGAAGTAATCTACCCAAGATGATACTCTTGGAAGTCCCATTATTTCCACAAGAAAGAGCTATGACATGGACTTTTATGGAAATAGTGGGATTTAAAAGAACTTAAATGAGGTACATAATTCTTGTACTTGAAATTATCTGGATATTCTCCAAAGCTCTCACAGCACAGAAGAGCCTTAAAATTTGGATGGAAAAATACCCAACAGAAAACAAGCAAGTAATGGATGGGTAAATATTCCCTTAAGCACAAGGGTTTTTAAAGAAATGATTGCTCACATAAGTGTAGGAAGCCAATTTTCTTTGACCTAGAGGCCAAAAGATAAAATTTAAAATATTGGTCAGTTTGTAATATATATTTTATTCCACCACCACCCTATTCACACAGAAAGAAACCCTGGTGAATAAATCCATTATTTCCTATATGTTGGTCCACAACAAGGAAACACAAAGAAATCATTCCTTTATGGGAAATGTTGGATTTATTATCCACCAGGAGACAGAGAAAAGAATACTAGAACAGGCAAGCCAGCCAACCTGGGTGTGCAGAAGGTTGACACGTTCAGTGGCTTCTAATAATTCTTGTTCTGCCAATTTACGACTACGTTCTGTCTGGTCCAGCACAGCCCTCAGCTCATCCAGCTCAGATTGGAGAAGAGTATTACGTCGATCAGTGACTGCCAATTGCTCTTTGAAATCCTCATTAAGATGTGTTGAATCATCAAGCTGCACTTGCAGTTCCTGAAAGAAGATGAAATCTCACATATATCTGTCTATCTGTCTCTAACTACAGCCCTGGAATTCCTGATGTCTTTATTCACACCTAGGCTTAATTGTGTTTTGTTTTTGCTGAAATCAGCAAATATTATGTAAATACATTTAGAGTTTCCTCTTATTATTTTAGAGTAGCTGTAACTTCAGTAGCCAGGCAACTTGAGCTACATAATTATCATTGAGAACTATGACCGATTTTAAATTGTGGTTTTTAAAATATTGGTTGCTTCCATGTCTGCTTCTTGAGAAGTACAATTCTCCAAAGATTTTGATTTTTCTTAGGGTTTTCTTCTCACAGGTGAGCAGAATATGCCATCTACAGTGATAATTATAACTCCCTTCTGTCTCTTTTCTCTACTTACTTAATAAATAACACAAGCTTGTGTGTTTTGGTAGGCACATCTCTCATTAAAAATATAAAAAGAAACACTGTGAGATTACATTCAAAGTACTCTACCACTTTTAAATATGTTGATGCCCTACTTCCATCTAATTTTCTATCTTTTTCTCTTCAGAGTAAAATAAATATTTTTTTTAACAAATGCATGGAAAGGTCTGATTTACTTCCAAACAAGCTAAAGAGACCTGAATCTTCTTATTTAGCTAAGAACTTTGAAATTCTGGCATATATGTACATACATACAAAGACAGGTGCATGCTTATATAATTCCTTTCCTTGTGCCTATTCTGGCCATTGTATCTAAGGAAGTAGAGAGAGGAAAAATTAAAATGGAGGGAAAGGATATGAACTACTACATCCTGTTATAAATTGCATACTAATTTGAATATGATACAATGACTTGAACATGCATTAATTGTATGAGAAAGATAGAGCTTCTTAAGACTATTCAAGTTGCACATTCACTAGAGAAAAATACTGATAAATATCAAAGCAAATGTACAGTCTCTAAACTATGTTTGCCATTGTACTATAAAATACAATTTATGAAATATGTGGAAAAGGCCAAGTAGTCTGGCTGGTGAAATTTTTTATAAACCCCCTCCTCCTACACACACACCCAACAATCTTCTCATACATGTTATTTTATCTAGGCGGATTTACTGTCTTATTTTAGAATGACAGGGCGGGAAAAACTATACCTGGCCATGGATTGGCAATTCGAAAATTTCCTTACAACACCAAATTTGAAACTTAGTACTATATGCTACTATCTGCATCTGTTGGAGTTGTGCTGCTGTTGTTGTAATGATGTACATATTTCATTAACAATATTCAGAGAATACCTTTATTTGAGCCTGGAGGATGCGTGTGGCCTTAGTTGCTTCAGAAGCATGCCGGTTAGCATGGCTCAGCTGGATTTCCATTTCATTGAGGTCACCTTCCATCTTTTTCTTCAGCCTGACAGCTTCACTTCTGCTTTTAGCTTCAGCATCCAAGGTAGACTGAAGTGTGTCTATTGTACGCTGCTGGTTTCTCCTATTTTTGAAATAATATTCTTTTTTACATACACACCTTTCATCCCAAGTAATCTTCAAGCATTTTTTTTAAAACTATCAGGAAGACTGTTATATTTTTGTTTGTCTATCAGACAAAAGACAGTCTGGCTTAATTCTTAATTCTTAAAAAGTGATTCCAGTTTTTCCTTGTTTATTTCCTTTTGTTTATTAATACATCTTTTGTCAACATATTGTGCAGACAGTAATTATCAATCAGTCTTAACAACATTCTTGCAAATTAAGACAGCATGGACAGATGGTTCAGCAGATTCATAAGCTGAAGTAAATTGCCCTCTTCTGCATAATGTGTTACTGGCAGAGCAACTATGAAAAAAATCTTGTGATGGTTAAGAAATATAGATCACTTGTAACTATAGTAGTTCTTATTGATAAGTTTCATTGGATCTAGACTGGCAGCATAATCTCTTTCATGGTTCTTTTTCTCCAAAACCAGACCCATAATTATAATTTTTCTACCTTTTTCTATTTTTTTATTGATTGCACTTCTAGCTTTTTCTGTTGTTTCTTTCTTTTCTCTAATTATTGTATTATTATTCCTAAACATAAATGTGTGAGTGTGTGTAATAATTACTGATAAAAAAGAAACATGAAGAAAGAAATATGTTCAGAGGGTTTTGACTGTGTATCTCTTAAATATTTGGGTTTGAATCTCTATAAGTTCATTTATATTTGTATTGCAAAATTACAGCTGTTAGTCTTTAACAGACAGTCTAGCCAATTTTAACAATAAATGTCAAGAAGAGAAAACCCAGTTCTCTCAAGACTAGGAAAACGTAAATAAGATATTGTATTCAGCTAGAAATCTGTTCAGTGTTCTTTAAAAATACTAACCAGAATTTTTGAACTGGAACACAAACACACACACACACACACACACAATTTAAAATTGTTTGAATGAATACACAAATCTGACAGGTTCACCCATCTTGCAAACTAATTTTTAGATTCTATTGCACTAGCATTATTAGATCTGGATGGCAAAAATCCAGTTAAACACTACTTGGAAACAAAGTATTGGAACTGCCTTTATGTCTGCTATTTACTCTTTGTGTACAATTTTGCAGCCTGGATCCAGACATAGTTAAAATTAATAGGGACAGTCAGTCATCTTAAGTCATAGTAATCTCTTTTTCAACAGGAAATTATTCCAAATAACCTCCCGTATTGGGGAATGTCAAATGACATCACCTGTTCATGGTGGTACAGACAAATATCAGCAATGATGAACTGATATTGGACTCTAGGAAAGCTAGAACACTGAGAAATCCTATGTAAAAGCCAATACATGTAGAGTCATAATGTGAAGGCTGTCCTGATACAAACATTTTCCCCTGCCACAGCCAATATCAACATCGAAAGATACTGGTAGGATTGTCCAAACTGCCCATATATTGAGCACTTTCAATAATGAACTCCTAAGCAGTACTTAAGAGACAAATTTTAAGCCAAAATTCCATGTATTGTTTACAGTTAGTATCAATCCAGTTTTAGTTTGGATATGACAGGTTGTGTAAAAGTTTGCCATACTGTACCTGAAGTTATCAATTTCCTCCTCTTTTTCTGCCAATTTTCGTTCAAAGTCTGCTTTAATTTGGGAAAGTTCCAGTTGAAAGCGTAATGTTTTGCTTTCTTCATGTTCCAGAGCTCCCTAAATAAGGATGTACAATATAAATTAAAGTTAACTATCTTTTAAAAAAGAAAAAAATCACCACACCATATGCTGTGGTAGCTGAAAGGCACAATCCAATATTCTGTTCAGTTGCAGAGCAATCATTATGATAATACCAAAAAGCACAGACAAAAGATTTCTAACTATTGATATTCTTTATCAGCATTAACACCAGTTTGCAACAACATTTTTACATGCAAGGGTTACTTGGAGCAGATAATCTTGTCATCACTGATCCTACCTGATTTGTTTGTTTGTTTACAGAGGCCTTAGAGTTTGTGTTGAGTCCAGGTGACTTTATGGACCAGTCCTTGAAGTTTTCTGTTTTCAAAAAGTGGTTTGCCACTGCCTTCTTTCAAGAGCTGAAAGAAAGCAACTGGTCCAATGTCACCCAGCTGATTACTTGCCTAAGGCAGGCCTGGAACTCATATTTTTCTTTTCTGACTCCATATCTTAATCATTAAATCAAACTACCATCAAAGAGAATGAAATTTCTATCAGGGGCAATTCATCCTGAATATCATAAAAAGGAAGCAATCTGTTAGTAATTTGGTTTGCTACTGTTTTATTCTTACTGCCAGGATGACAAGAGGTACATGCAATTTATTGCATAATTTAACTGCTTTTGAATGACCCTACAACTTGGCTTGCTATCAGGATGAAAACAGATATTATCTGATATCCCCTTCTGGTAGCAAAATGTATTTTGGCTTAGCAGTACATGTGTAAAACACCATTTGTTCTGTCTAGATTAAGCCTCCAATCATAATGTAATAACTATGGCAGGCACACACAGGTGTGTTGTAGGGTTGAAGGTTAATTCCTTCCGGGCTATCAAAGCTTCTTATAATAGCACTAAAATATTTGCCTGGGCATTTTTATGTGAACTTGATAGCATTGTTTCCATTTCTTTTTAATTTGCATGGGCAGATTATTTATTTTTTTATCCATTTGCTCATTGATATTTGTTGCAGATATTAAAACGGAGGCTTTTATGGCTGACTTTAAGATCTAGCATGAATAAACTGCATGGTAATGTACTATGGAAAAATATCTGCTGAGGAATGACAGGAAAAAGCGATAATGAACAAGATGGGTTTTCATGCATCAATAACCAGCCAACTAATCAATACATTTTTCCTTTAACAGAAGGCAATTAAGAATTATTAAGAATCTTTTAAATTTCTTGACCAAGATTCCAAATAAATGCTAAAGTTAATTATTTAGCAGAAAGCAAAAATATAAAACCCTGCAATAATAATTCCTTGATTTTTCATGACATTGTTTTTCTGATTTAGTTGTGCATTGCATTTTTAAACTGGCTTTTAAAATAGAGCATTCTGCCGGAGAAGGATCAGTATAATTCATTCAGTTCCCTCTTAACTTTCATGTGGATTGAACATTTGTTTTTCTATATAGTGTTATGCCATCTGACTAGATATTATACATTGAGATTCTATAAAATGAAGCAGATTCAATCTGTGTGTAGATATGCTTATCAGGTGCTGTTATTCTAGTACAACTCAGTCAACAAGTTGTAAGCAACAGTATTGCTAATGAAAGCCCATGTGCTTATCTGATTTTAGTCATCTGTCAAATGGAAACATTTTAAAAAACATTTTTTGTTCATGTAAGGATTTGCAGATAAACTTGTTTATGATTGATTAGGCGTTCATACACACAATCTCTAGTCTTCATTCTCTCATACACATTTATATTTGTAAAAACATGTGTAATATATAGCAATACTTTATTGCATGGCCTCATTTGTTAAATTTAAAAGTTATTGACTACAATATTGAGGAATAAAAACAATGTAGGAATTAATATATGAACATGGTGGAAGTAAGAATCTAGCCCTAGATAGATTTTCATTAGTCTCAGCTGTTTTTACTTTTTTTTTGTCTTCCCAATTTTTCCCCCTTTTTTGTGAAATGCATAATGTTTACTCTGGAAAGGAATAGCATGATGTATGTATGAATATGCATCAGGTGGTTGAGATGTACCTAATTTACCAGGCAATACAAAAGTCAAAGGGCAATTTTGAGAAAGTTTTTCTTTACCTTCTGATGGTGAGGGACCACAATAAACAGTTTGGGGAAAACAGTCTGTACTGGACTGTAGTGTAAGCACTGAAATAGGTTTAACATAGTGGATTAAACAGGGCAGTGGAGTGTTTTTTTTAAAAAACCCACTATGTTAAACCTATTTCAGTGTTTTCACTATGTTAAACCTATCTACAGTTTCTGGATGTCTCCTGCAGACTTTCACAACTGTCATCAGAGGCCACTAAAAAGACACTCTGAGGGCATACAATGGGTTCTTCGCATTGGATGAATGCATAATGAATTGCTTAGAAAACAGAAACAAAAATCTCCCTTGTAGTTTTATGGAATAGCTGTTTTAATGAGCATGCCAGGTTGGATTTTAGACTTTTATCAAAGAAAAGTTTTCAAATCACCCAATGGATATATGGTGCTTAGGTAGATCCAATTCTATTTATGCTGCATATGTTATATCAAAATCTCTCTGCCTCTGTCTCTGTCTCTCTCTCTCTCTTGTGTATACTATACAGTACACATACATATATAATATACATATATAATATACATATATACTGTACTATATGCATATATACATATACACACACATATACACGCATATACATGCATATACATGCATATACATATATGTTTGCTTCAAAACTGTGGAACCAAGCATGCTGTTCCTCTGCTGTAATACCAAAAACCTTTTTATTTGATGGGGAAATCCCTGCAAAACATAAGATAGCCTGCAATTTTTTTAAAAAAAAAAA